CTTTGGGAGTACATTCCTTTTTGTTTATTTTGGACTTTACAATGAATCAGAAATAAAAAAATAACAAGGCAGTAGATATTATGTAAATAGGTCCCTTAGCTAGAATGATTGGAGAAAAGAGTGAGCTTGAATAACATTAAAGCCAAATTAACCTTGAAATCTATGTCACTATGAAAAATGTATGTAGTTCAAAAGCAACCAAGTCATCAACAGAATTTTTGAAATTATACAAACATATGAATTTATGTTATAGAAGATGATAATTTAAAATATGTTTTCTAAGTTTCCAAACACATCTTGTATGTCAGAGAAAATAGCTAGAATTAGTACAAGGAGCCTTACCAATACTTAAGTCTCCAGTGGCTAAACTAAGCTTGAGAAGTGCAGTGTGGGCTGAATTCATTATTAGACATATTATTTCTATATGGGCATTGGCACAGCAGATTTTCATGACTCCTTATCTTCCTTTGTATTTAGCCCACAGAGGTGGTGATAAGCATCATCAATTAATCACAGGTAAAACTTCCAGGTGTGTTCTTATTCATTTTACTTCTGCAACTTGAGATGTGAGGAGGAATAAAGAGGCTTCGTGAGACTTTTGGTGATTTTAGTTAAGAGTCACTGACTGACCCAAAGTGAGAGCTTAGTGTGTGAACAGTTGGACAAAAGTTGAGAGCAATCCCAGAGCAGTTCCCAAGCAGCAAACTTTGACATTTGGAAGTCAGGTTCAGTGAAACTGTATCATGGTAATTCTCAACCAGGAGCAAGTTTGCCCCTCAGGGTACTTTTGGTTGTCACAACTGGCAGCGGCAGAAGGGGCGAAGCTGCTACTGTTACCTAGTGGGTAAGACCAGAAATGTTCCTTAACAGTTTGAAATGCACAGAAAAACCCACATATTAAATAAATATCCAGCCCAAAGTGTCAAAAAAAACAAAAACAAAAAACCCTGGTATAAAACCATGAAGTATGAACATAATGGTATAGTTACGGTGTTATATGAGAGGAAGGAGTGGCATTTGCTACTTTATAGATTTTACTCAATATAAGAATTTATCGATGATACACTGTAACTTTCCTTGGATTTGTTGATATGATGAATTAAAAAATATAAGTAATGACACAAAAATAACTAAATAGTGGATAGTCACAGAGAAAGATTTAACTAGTAGTAGTAGAAGAATTAACCACGAATTATAATTGCTAAACATCACTATAGAGTTTCTGAAAGTGTTAGTGTGAGTTATTTTTGTCTATTACCTCTACTTGCCCCTCTTTCCTAAGCAACCACTCACCAATTCTGGAGTAAAGATATTTGTTTGGGGTATTTTCTTCTTTAAATTCTTCTTTGGTATGTTCCATAAAGCTTTGTGAATCATTTGATTTGCCTTTTTAAAGAAAATCGCAATAGAAGAAATGCTTCTTGTTATGCTTATCTTACTTAGAATTTACTATTGGTCTTTTTTCCTCTTTTCCCCCCTAACATATGTCTTTTAATTTCCAATACTCTAGTGAAACTAGCTAAAATGCTTCTGAGTATTTCACTCTCAATAACGTAAAAGGTCTGTGAGGCAGTTCATGTGAAAAAGAAGTTGTTTTGGTGGTTACTAAGAGAAATGTACAGAGAATCGATAGAAAATGAATGTAGGAAAACTTGAGTTTCTTCCTTCAAAATAAAAGTAAACTTAGGTGGTAAAGTAGAACAGAAACAAGTTTTATATAGAAAGGAATTTAGACCTGGGACAGGTCAACACTTTCTCACAGTAGAGGTATTTAAAGGTGAATAAGAGCTGTACAGGTAGATAGACTTGGAATAGCTTTCTGTTTCTTACTTCTACCAACTTAAAGAGGAAAGATTGGGAAAATAAATAAGATTGAGAAACCATAAGCTAAACAACATGAGAGCAGCTGAAAGAATTCACCCGGTATCCAACTCAGCCTGAGATTCATAGCATCCTTTGTGAATTTCGAAGCAAAGTTAATACTAAACATAAATGATAAAGAATTCCAACTGAATTTGGTATTTAAGTTTAGGTAAGTTAAGTACTTATTGGAATTATTAAGGAGTAGTTATAAAAAATGATTGTAGTAAAGTTTCTTTTTAAGCCATTTAAGAGGTGAAGCTTTCTTTCTTTATTTATTTGTAATCCAAAGAAGTCTTTCAAAAAAAAGCCGCAAAGAGGGCCTAAGATGCAAGGGAAAAGAAAGGGGAGTTAACTTTTATTGCATGGCCTAGTATGTTCTAAGCATTGTGCCACACATTTTTTCCAGTTATCTAACTAGTGTCTTTCAGCTCCAAGCTCACCCTTCCTTTCTCTGCTTTGTGATGCTAGAGAACAGGAAGCACATTAGAAAGAGTTCCAGGGTGGGGAGGAAGAAGAGATTTCATTCTTCCTGCTGTTGTTCCTGTTGCTCTTCCTGGCATTGTGGTTTCAGCAACAGACAATTTGTTCCAGTTTCCATTTTTCTGCTCTCCCAGAACCTGCTGTATTGCGCCCCCTCATAAGTACTGGCAATAGCTGGGCAGCGTCTCCCCATCAGAGATGTGAGTCCCACTGTATGAGGTGCCTCTTACAATCCATACATTCTAATAATCTAAACCTCATCTCTCTGATTCTGTGGCTCCAGGGATGATAGCAGTTTCTTGAAGTCACTGTTTCTGTGTTATTTTTATGTCTCCTTTCATTGTCTGTTCTTTTTACACCTTTTACAATAATTCCTTACATTAAATTCTCTCTGTTAAAAATGACTGACAGTTTTTTCTTAAATTAGCTTCTGACTGATAGCCACTCTTTACATAAATTGTGTTCATTTTATAAATGGGTAAATTGAAGTGTACATGGGTCCAGTAACTGGATGAAGTTTCATAGCCAGCAGGGGCATAACCAGAATGGAAACCCAGATTTATAAGCCACAGTCTTTGCTAATATTTCAGGAAGAATAAGAGACATAGGAATAAAACCATGAGAGATTTTAAAAATTTTAAAGAATAATTTAAGAATAAAGTTATAAGAATTCTGACCAACCATCTCCCCTCTACATATCTCTCTTTATTTTTTTTCTTTCAAATCACTTACTATTTTGACAGCAAAAAGATTATTTTAAAAAGGCATATAAATCCATGATGAAAAAAGATCATAGCACATTGGAAATACTAAGAAAACTGTGAAATAAGCAGAAATAGACTAAACAGAGCAAAGAAAAAAAAATCCTAAATCTGCAATAGGAAACCTTAAGGCAGACTAGACTCTCAGAACATCAGAAACTTTCAGAAATGGAGGCACCAGGTTCTTTCTATAAAGATGGTGCTGAAAAAGCAGGATTTGTTGAAATTCTAATAAGTAGCACTTACATCTTCAGAGTCCCTTCCCTACAATTTACATTAGGATTCTATTTTCCTACAAACAAGTAGAAAGTTTATGATGTAAAAGGACAGTCAGGGTTTGGTAAGGCTGATGTCACTGGGGGCCTTAATGGGACAGTAGTTTGTATGGAAGGATGGGAGAAATTTGAGACCTCCATGGGACAGAAGTGAGAGATGGAAAGGGACTTAGAAGGAGAGCGTGAATAATTGAAGCAACAAGATTTTGGAAGATGTGGGATTCAGAGAAAATGACTGGCTGGTCTTCTGGAAGGGAGATTTTTTTTTTTTTTCTTTTCACATCTGAAGAAAGCTTTGATGAATGAAAGTATTTGGAAAGGTGCATTTAGCGATGTTATTTCCAACAACTCCATATTCTCCATATGTGGACACATGGGTGAGTCAAAAGGTTTGGGAAGAGAAACATAAGTTTGAATCGACTATATAATGAATCAGAACAAGAACCTGCCCCCAACCATACTTTACTGGTAAACAAAGAATTCATATAACACAGGCCATGAACTTGTGGCCCATATGTCAAATTTAACCTGAAAATATGTGATTTTTAAAAATTAGTTGCCAACATCTTGAAACTTAGCAGCTCTCACTTTAAAAAATAATTCCGTTTGAAGACTTCTTGAAAGACTGGATAATTCTACAATACTGAACATACATTTCAGTATGTAGCTGAGTGGTGGGAACTTTCTTTAGATGGTGTAGGTATTTCCTTTAGCCTTCTATGTTCATTTGTTACATTTCTGGGTCTGTGCAGTCATTTGAGTTTCACACCCTGAAAAAGCACCTGTCTCTTGAGTATCACTGAGCCACCTGTGTGAAATTGCGGTGTGGTTATTAACAACATTTTTAGAAAAGCAATATATGGTATCACAAGAACCCCACCCAACACTGTCTCCCATAGATGGAGAGCTTCAGATAAATTAAAGCTTCAGTGCCAATTAAAAATGACTCCTGATTGGATGAATCTCTCCAATAATTGCTACTGGACCTTCCAGTATCATCTAAATCTATTCTTATAAACTCATTCGGCAGAGTTAAACCACGGTCACTCAAGAGTCTCTTCTGGCATCTGTTAGAGATCAAGCCAATCTGAGACGGCTGGCCCTTCCAGACTTGCTTACATACTGTCATTTATCAAATTCAAGCTTCTGACATAGGGTTTTGTCTAGCATAAATTGACTATAAAACACAAATCCAAGGAGGTGCCATAACTTTTTATTTGAATAATAGGGATTATAGGAGTATCAGCTGATACTCATTCCCTTTTCAAGAAATAATTCTTACATGATGACTCATTAATTAATTTGCAATCTATTTCCATCTAACTGTTCAATGAATATCAATATTCTGAGAATTAGTGATTAAATATGCTGTGTGATCACAAGATGAGTCAATTGAGAAAAGCACTAGCTGTAGTCTTGGACATTTTTAACTGGTGAAACCATTTCACTCAAAAGTAGTTGAGTTGACTACTAATTTAGGCCTAAGATGTGATTATTAAACAGCTTCCACCAGGATATAAACACCTTTTTAAAAAATGGCCTCAAGTTAATTATAAGAAAGTTTTCCTAACATGTAGCTATCTTGTTCTCTTTCATGCTATGAATTTCTGGCATATAGACCTCAATTATTTTCTAATGAAATTTCTTCAGTCCTAAGAGGAAGCTCATAGGGTTTGGTTTGCTTATGTAGTTTCTCTTCTCTTTTCTTCATAACTTCTTGGAAGTGTTTTATCTCCTGTAACTCTTTGTCTTTAAGTTCTTTGTCCTCACATATTGCATCTTCTTTCTGTCGGATCATTAGCTCTTTCTGCCACTGTTACAGAGAAAACTTCATTAACATACAATTTCCCATGAAAAAATACATATTGGTTCAGCTTCTCAAAATGCAGATTTTTATATCCAATTATCCTCTTAGGTTTCCCCCCACCCCCAAAGACATTCCTCAGGAATTCTATAGCATACTGGAAAAATATGTCACCCATTAGAATGCATATAAACTCTACAAAACAGAATTCCCTCAATATTTTTAAAGATAAAAAACCATTCAAAAGAAGACATAATAGTGTTTATATTTCTATATCCCAAAGGACTTTACATTTTTCATCAGTAATGATATTTACGTGACAACATGGTTAATAAAGTAAAAACACAAGGTAAAGCAAAACAAAAGGAAAAAATACAAATTAAAGTGAGAAGCAAAACCTGTGATACTTTTTCATTTGAGATTGAAAATGAAATTAATGGTCAGACAAATGATTATTTTGCAGTAAACCAGTAAAAATACTTCTAAGGGATTCCTCTCAACTGACAATATTAACTCAGGACAATAACAGCATATCTCAAGGCAAGAGCCCTAGGAATGAGTAATCAGTGTTGGAAGCAATGGTGATGAATTAACCTAACATCATCATGAGGAATTTTTCTACCATTGTAATACATTTGATGAGGGAAATGGTAAAAAGGTAGGGTAACCCTCTTCAGACTGTGTAAACAGTTCAGGGCAGAATGACTGTTCCATGAAATGCTGGAAATTCCTAAGGACACTGCCTATGCTGCTCTTTTTGTCACACTCAGCTGGTGCATGTACACAAGTGACCACTGACATTAACAACCTATCATCTAACTTGTAGATTACAGCATGTGCCAGTGCTGTGAGTTGTGACTACTACTTGTCTCCTGGGATGTATGGATAACAACAAGCAGAACTAAAGCTCAGAGTCCATAGCAAGTCACTCAGCCTTGCTAAAGGCAATAACATTTTGTAAAATGTCAACATGCTCATATTAGAGTAAATACTAAAAACCAAATCCTAATACCATATCCACTTATTTTTATCTCCAGTTAACTTTTAATAATACAAAAACAAAAAACAAAAGTTGCCTGCACTTGTCTTGAGGATATAGCTACACACAGTTATCACTCATATGTTTGGTTTCTCAAAACCATTTTTGCATGTAACATATAGAAAACTGAGGCAAAACATCTGGGACATTCAGGCACAGACTGAATTCATGCTTTGGTACAAGTTCTTCGATACTCAACTGTGACATAATTTTTCTCATATAATAAACTAAATAATAACCTAATTGTTTAGTAAAACTACCAATTTTATGTTATAGCATAAAAGCAGTAGTTGGTATAATAATGACATTATCTATAAACAAAGACAACTACTCTATCCTATATGAGAGATTCAATGTATCTCATGACTTTGTTCTTTACATTGTGAAAAATCAACATAGGATTAATTCTTATGAACTGTCAGAAAAATACTCGTAGAATTCTTTGGTTACCCAAACAGCTTGTACGAAAGCATTATTTACTGCTTTATTCAACCCATTTACCCAGTGATTCAATCATCATGCTATGTAATACCAGCAGCATACAAGCTACCTTGATATCTGCTGAACAATGAGATATCTTCCCTATTTCTTGTGTATTATAACAACTCAATAACAGTCGGTTGACTTAGGAGATTCATACTTGGCAGCTACAGGGATGTGTTTTTGTTTCTTGTCAGTATTACAGATCCCACCCTCCCACTCCCCATTCTGGTTAGGGATTATAAACCAAGAATTTGAGCAGCCATGAAACAGTGAAAGGGAAAGTGGACTTGGAGTCCAGAGATCTGGTTTTGTTCGTAGACTCAGTCATGTCTCAACACCTTAAAACCTTGGGGAAATAACTAAATTGTAAACCACTAATTTATTCTTCTTATTGGTAATGTTTTACAGGTTTGTTGTAAAAATTAAATTAACCAATGTAAGAGCATTTTGTAAAGTATGAAGTATGATATAAGACCAAAATACTAATGCTATACCTATCTGAAAAACAATGAATACGTGAATATTTTAAAAATATAATATTCAGAGACACTTCCACAAACCTTCCTAAATCAATACTATGAACTACTATTTCATTAGCTAGCCACATATCAAACAATTTGGATCTTATAAGTTCTCAAACATATTTTCAGAAGGGTTTCCTTTTACCCTTCTTTAGCTACAATATAAGCACGTACGTGGCAGTGTTTACTTAGATAATGCTTATATTCTTTGAAAGAGAGAAAGATGATGGTTGTTAGGAGCTATTTCCTAGTCTCTTTTCTGTCATTCCAAATACTCTTTAACTAGCCTTAGGCAGCCCAAAGTCACCCAGGGATATATATCAGAATATTTTGAAAAGTTTGTAAAAAAAATGGAATTAAAAGATAATTCAAATCTTTCCACAAACTTTTTGAAGACCCTTGTGTGTATATATATTCATACGTATATAAAATGTTGTCAGGTTGCTATCTCTTGTCAGCTATTCCAGATCATTTAGTTAAAGTGAATAGGAAAATATAGATATCAAAATTTATGAACCTTGGAAATTTTTCGGAATTCCCTGCATAGATGATATGTTTGCTTAGCATAAACTTTATTAGTAAATAGTAGAACAATATTACAGCTCTCATTCTGCGATTCCAAGGTATCTGTCAGCCTCCAAACCCCAATACTTATAGCTATTGCTAGAGTGTCTTAAATATTAGCTATGTGGTAGATAACTATTAAATGTGATCAGTAAATAAAATCATCCCTTATTCTTTATCAAAATATCACCAATTAAATGGAATGTGAAATTAATTATGGTAATGGCTATAATCAAAATCTATAGATAATAATGAACTACTGTGATAAGATTAATTTAAGCACATTCTATATGCTATTGAATCCATGTTGCATTTTCAAAAACCGCAAAAATAAGTACTTTCTCTCCTACTCTAGCTCTACTCCTAAAGAGAAGTAGACATAAAATGATGAACATTTGTTAAGAAATTATAGACTAAATATAGCACAATGGATTAAAGTGGCTTACATGAATAGCCTTGCATTGCCACTCATACTAAGAACAAAGTGATTTAAAGTCTTTCTGATCTGTCAAGGGTAAAGAATGGTCACTGAAAATTGAGTCAAAAGATTTTTGTTCTGTTATTAGAACTACAGTGCAGAAGAAATCAGTGTTCAGTGTTGAATATCAGATTCTTGTCACAAGAAATCAGTACTAATTCAGGAAATAGAATTGCGCTAGTGTTTCACAAATGACAGAAAGCTGCATTTTCTGTAACCCAATGAAGGCACTGACGTGTGCAGATAGTCTAGTAAAATACAATTAAATTTGGCAATGACCAATTACAGCGCCACTTTTAAATTCCACATGTTAATGTTTCAGTCTCAGAACCACATTTTATACTTCAAAGTGCCTTTAAAGAACAAAACTTTTGCTGCTAGTTTAAGAAGGTCACTCTTACGTGATGGTCAATGATTTTTGCCAATTCTTTATCCGCCTTGGCGAAGAAATCTGGGTATGGAAACATGGGAAGTTCTGATACAGAAGGATGTTCCCTTCAAAAGAGCACAAAGAACAGATCCAACGTTAGATACGATATTCCTTTTCCCCAGAAACAGACAGATTTGTAAGTCATATTCATTATTAAGCATTTTCATTCTACATTACAAACATATAGAATTACTCTGTGTAGAACACTGTATATTAGCTTTTAGTTTCCTTATGCCAACATAGGTTACTAAAACTGACCGTTTTTTTTTTTTTTTTTTTTTTATTCCTTTTTGTCTTTTTTACTGACCGGTAACGGGATCGCAACCCTCGGTGTCGTGCCCGCACCAGGGACCGGCAACGGGATCACAACCCTCGATGTTGCGCCTGCACCGTGCTCAGCCAGTGAGCGGGAACCGGTCTCCACTTGGGATCCGAACCCTCGGTGGGAGCGCCACTGCGCTCCCAAGCGGTGCACTCTCCAGTGCGCCACCGGGCCGACCCAAACTGACCGTTTTTTTGTTTGTTTGTTTGTTTTCCTTTTTGTCTTTTTTTCGTGTCCGGCAACGGATCGCAACCCTCAGTGTCATGCTCGTACCGGACAGGGACCGGCAACGGAATTGCAACCCTCGGTGCTGCGCCCGCACCTCACTCAGCCAGTGAGCGGCGAACCCTCGGCGGGAGCGCCGCGCTCCCAAGCAGCGCACTGTAGCAGTGCGCCACCGGGCCAGCCCCAAACTGACCGTTTTTAAGGTTAGGGCATGACATATAGAATGAAGACTAGAAAATAATAAAAAGGAAATCTCCTAGCAGATGTAAATACTACAGCTAGTCAGTAGCAAATGAGATGATAGGATCTGAAGGGCTTAGGGAAATCTGATGTAGACTGTGCTGAATGGGGAGATAAACGTGTGCATCCCACACACAGCTCCGCAACCCTGAATGTTCTGGTGGAAGCCTTGGCCTAAGAATTTGATCTAAGATACATTAAAAAATTATGTGATTTCAATACTTTGCCAAGGTGTTTGTATTACTAACAGTGAAAGTGTGGTGAACAGTTTAGCAATAGCTCAATGAAATTGTTGGCAGTACAAAGCTGGGCTTCAAATTAAGGGTGATTTAGTCTTAAATTATCCACATAATAACTTATTGTTAAAATTCTTATGAAAAAATGATGTTAATCAAAGAGTATGTAAAGGATTAAGATGATGGGAGAGGATGATTTTGAAGTACAGAAAGTAGGTGTAAAGAAGAAAGTCTTAGGGAAGAGCCTAAAGAGATACAGTCCATGAGAAATTTCCATTTCCAAAAAGGTCTGATTAGCTTTTAAGACTAGAATGTGTAGCATTAATTTTTTTTTCAAGTTGCTACTATACCATTCCAGTGAGCTCTACATTCATTTTTTTTAATTATTATTTTTTAACTGACATTTAATAATTATACATATTTATGGGGTAGAGAGTGATATTTAGATAAATGTATACAGTGTGTGATGTTCAAATCAGGGTTATTAGGATATACATGACCACAAGAATTTATCTTTTCTTTGTGTTGAGAGCATCTGATCCTCTCTTCTAGCCATTTGAAAATATACAAAAAATTACTGTTAACTGTAGACATCTAGGACTGTTATACAACCCAAAAACTTTCTCTTCCTAACTGCATGCTCCCCTTGTATCACCAGGTCCTGTTTCTCTATACTGCACTAAATGCTTCTCAAATATTTTCATTTATCTTTGTCTCCACCACCACTTCCTTGATCCAAGCCATCAATGAAAGCGACCTTAGCCAGAAAACAGCCATCTTTGGGATAACTAAGAACAAGCATAAAATTTCAGTTATCTATTAACTTAGGAACTGATAATCATCAATTCCTTGAGGTTAGCCGAGGAATGAGAAACTGACCATATGGAGAAACTTCCCAGGGATGAAATCATACCCTAAAAGGATCCTTCTCAAAAGTTTATTTCTGTTTATCTCCCATTACACACTCTCATGTTGATTTACTTTAGATGTTGCACACCTACAATTAATAATTGAAATGAAGTTTTTTTTTTTTTTTTTTTTTTTTTTTTTTTTTTTTGCCTTTCCTAATCAACTGCAAACAAAGGAATTCCAAGAGAGAGGAAAAGCATCCTAGGTGATTGTTAACTCACCTTTTCACTTAAAGGAAAATTGCATCCACATTAGTTAGAGGTACAAGACAGGTATTCCTATATTCCAGTGATGCTTGACTGAGGTTATTGTCTTTAAGCTCTCTCTAAGGAGATAAAGACCCTGATCCCAAAATAATATCAAGGTTTGAAGCTAACCAGTCCATCAAGTGTAGACTCCATGACACCAAAGCACCCAGTCTATCATGGGACATTGACATCTAACTCAGACCTTCTGCTGATCCCATGACCAGCCTACCCCTTTGTCTGCAGGACTAAACCCTTACCTCACCTTCCCACCTCATCTCCTTTATAAACCTCAGAACAGCATCAGAAGGTGGGATGATTTTAGCCTGGCCATCCCCCAGATGCTGGTTATCTGAATAAAGCTTCCAATCCTTGAGCCAACTTTTGGACTTTTGAGTCATCTGTTTAGTCCGAGAGGGCAAGTCAAGCCTGTTGCTGGTAACAGCATCATCTCTTGCCTGGACAAAGGCCTCATTTTTGGAATTTCTGCATTCACCATTCCTCATCCACTTTATTCTTGTCTCTATAAAGTAGCCAGAATTTTTTCCCAAAATACAAAGTGGATTATGTCAATTTCCTACATCAAACTGTTCAATATTTCCTCACTGTAAGAAAATAATCTAAGTGATTCATTTTCAGAAATAATTCAGGCCCAGCCTGAAAGTTGTCTGACTGGTCCAGCTCATTCTTGGGGGGGGGGGGGTCACTGAATAGATAAAGTTGTCCTTGAGATGGTAACGAGTTAATAGCCCTTTTCATTTCATAATGTTTCTCCTTTCACAGGGTTTTGGGTGGGCCTTTGTCATGGGCTTGTCCTGAGCCCTCAGACAAAGAAATTTCCTACAAGGGAGTAGTAACTTGGGGTACTCTTAGATGTAATCCAGGAAGATTGTACACCCCAACCAATGAAGAGGCAGGGTCAGGGAATTGCGCACTAGGAAATATATTGCTTGCTACAGCCCTTTTCCAGTGCCTGCCCGTCAGTCACCCGAACCTTGCAAGGCTGTAATTAAAGTCTCACTTTGCTGTACCCTGTGTCTCCATGTCCATCCTTTGGCCTTGGACGGGTGAGGGTGTCTCTCACATTCATTAACATTAGGATTGAAAGCACATTTGTTAAGGAAACTTGAAGTAGACTGTTTATTTGTTAAGGTGGTTTTGCATGGTTTCTGCAGACTTACTCCTCTCCTTTCTTTGCCCAGTCTCATGCATCCCTAATACACAGGTTTTCTTGCCATTGCTGCAATGTCCATTGCTCTACCCCACTATTGCTTGTTTGCACATGCTGTCATCCTTTCTTCTCTTTTCTTTCTCCTCCCCGTCTCTCCCTACTGCGGGGCTGATTATTGTCTACTCATCCTTCAGCTCTTAGTTCCAGCCCAATGCTGTAGCTCTCAATACACCATGGATACTTTCTTTGTTATACTTACCTCACTTCTAATTTTACATTTATCAACTGCATGTGTGAATTTTACATTTGACTGGAGTATGAGTTTATTTGACTATTGTATGAGCTACATGATCATGGAGACTTTTACCTGTTTGCGTTGAAATAGAGCTCCCTACACTCTCATAACATACGCTATCTGCTTCTGTAGAATTGCTTGCTTAACCTAAGTAACTCCATTTTACCCCGTCTGACCTGCAGACTACCCCCCTCTTCTGCGTGAGAAAGTGTTGACCTTCTCATAGAAAGAAAAACTGTTGCATAGAAAGAGGAGCCATACACAGTGAACAGTTACATGTGAACAGGAACCATACACAATAAAAATTTGTATACTTGATTGCTCTAATGGCTCATTTTTGTCTTCTATAACCTAGCTACCTAGCTTGCTTTGTGCACCTGGACAAACCATGTGCCAATGGGATGTGGTTTTTGCCTTTAAAAACCCCACAAGACCAAGGCCTGGGGCCATTCTCCCTTGGTTGCTCCTTGAGAGATGATTGCTGGCCAACTGGAGTGAATAAACTGCCCTTTTCTGTATAAGTGGCATGTAAATGCATTCTTGCAAGAGGGTGCCTCACAACAGCTTATCACTGTCTCCTCAGTTCCCAGCACAGTGCCAATATACAATGAATGTTTGCATATTTGCTGAATGATTGAATAAATAAATGAAAGCTACGATATGCTTTAATCTCCTTTGTTTTACAAGCCATCAGTAAGAGTCTACCACACAACACTCATATTTGTAGACTAGCATCCACTATAGCAAGTGATTGGCAATCTCAGAAGACAAGTTGCAGAGTGGAGTTGATAGCAGGAGTTCAAAGAAAAACAATTGAAATGACAGGAGACCAGGGAAAATGGAGCTCTATCCCAACCTGTAATATTCAGAAATATTTTATGGCAGAAGAGCCATGAGCTTCCTACTACATGCATAATTAGGCCTCTATCCATTCTATTAAGAAATTAAAGGAAAATATGACCCCAGAAAGCTGGGGAATTTGGGACACACAGGGACTAACACTTGGATTAACTATATTCATTCAACAAAATTTGGGCACTTCTGATATTCAAATAATTGTGCTAAATGCTGTGAAAAGATAAATAAGACCATCTAAAAATCATCTAAAGGTTAGAAGTATTCAAGCAAGTTGCCTAAAATTCTTTCTTGAATAATAAGTGTTGAAATTTTTTAAAATGCAGACAATGTAATTTTAAAAGACCTTTAAAATAGAAAAATTAAATGAATATGTTTATGTATCTATGATTTCTAGTTACCTCAGTCAAATAGTTTATACTAGAAAAGAAAATTGTATAGCTAACTATAAAACAAGACAACATGAGAGAGATAAACATTCAGTGACATAAAAAAATATATAGTGAAATGTTTAAGCACATGGGTTCTGTACTCAGGCAGATCTCAAAGCAAAGTTTGGTTCTGCCA